CCGCATGCTTGTACAGTATCAGAAATGTTACTGTTAAGCCAGCCAAACAGTATGACCCTAAAGAATATAAATCATCACTCTAGTATAGCTGTGATTTCATAATTCACTCTTTTCAGGACTTCTATCGCCATCTGATTAACGGAGCTCGTCCACAGTGATATAAGGGCCCATCATTCCTAAATGGAAGCAATCTTTAATAGTAGTACCACCCAGCTGGGTTCACACGTGTCCTCAGTTTAACATGCCCAAGCAGACTTGCAGACTGCAGCCACGTTGAGCTCGGCGCTCCTATAAAAGCGGTAAAATTCAGCTCTGTCAGAAACACACCTAAGATATACAGGTGTGACTGAAATTTGCTTCTTACCAAGCGTGTAGGTTGTTTATGTCTTTTTCTTCTGTCCCTCCCACTTCCATTAACAAATTCATCAAAGTGTACTTGGGCACCGAGCAGCTGCATTATTCACAAATCTGTAAAGGTAAATTGTTGCATGAATAAATGATAACATGAAAAGATGCTGTGTATGTGTTTAAAGCGCTTACACACACTGAGGTGGTGTCTGTTACAATTCTGCCGCCAGAGTGGTTCTGGCCGAGGTGAAGCTGACCGACCGTGAGAACCACAAGAGCTAAAATTAGGGAAAGTGACATCGGAGGGCATGGTTACCATGACAGCGAGCCTGCCTGAGGGTGTTGCTGCCGAGATACAGCAACAAGCCAAATCCAACTGGATACTGAAGTGTAACTATATCCAAGTGTTTGAATGTGAATGTGAATGTGTGTGTGTGTGTGTGTGTGTGTGTGTGTGGCTCTGCAAGTCAGTTTTACCTTTCTCTTAAAAACACAATGACTCTGCATGCACAAGTTGTGTCCGTTTTATTTTTAGTCTTTCAGTGGATATTTAACACAATCAAGCTTTCTCAAAACCTGTGAAAGCATCGGTCTTGATAAAATAAACTCGGAAACATCCCACCATCCCAACAGCACACACTCCTCTCCCATATGTTGTCTCCATGGGCAACTGAGCAGCCAATCTGTCGCAGCCCCTGAGACTTCCTCTCTCCGACTTCCTCTTTATCCCTTCAGATCGGCGGCGATGTGAATCGCGTGTGTGTATTGTGTGCTATTTTACAAATATACAGGTAACATATTTGTGTGTTTATGTGCGGGTGGTTGTGTGTATGCATATGTGTGCACCTCTACATGTGTAATCATAGTTAATCAATAGAGGCCTGTATGCAGCAGCAGCTGGCCTCCTCCTCCTCCTCCTCCTCCTCCTCCTCCTGCTCAGTGGACCTGTTGATGCTGGAAAACAGGGGGGCTGTTGTACAACTGGGTGGCCGCATAAATGTGGCACTCATCTAATATGCACCGCAGCGCTGCCTGCCAACACACTTCCTCATTGAAATTCTGATTAAATAAGGCCGGTCTGGCCAGAGCGCAATCTGAAAACTATTTAATTATACCTTTTTGGCTTTCCCCATCATAGGTACAACAGCTACCTCCGCTTTTAAGAAGACATAATGAATGCCCTAAGAAACAGCCATACAATCACAAAAGTCCCATTGGTATTACACATTGTGCTGTAATTATATTTCTCTGACTGGCCTATTCATAAACAAGAGGCATGCAGACTACGCAGATGACAGGTTTGTACGTCTTGTGAGGGGAAAAACCTCCTGACCTATAGTTTCCTCTTCCAGCACATATGACTTATAGGATAGGAAGTAACTTTAACTTTTAGTTTTGTTAAAAATCTGCACTTGAGCCCCAATAGACAAGTTTTAAGTTCCTCACTTCTCAAACTACTCTTCATGTGACATCATCTTACTGAGATTAGATCTCCTTCGTTCCCGTCTCCCCGTCCACTTTCTACAAAATCACAAAAAGGTGAGTGAACTGAATCACCAGTCTATCATGCAGCTCCATCCTGTACCGAATAATTTAGAGGCAGAAAATGATGGCCCATTTCAATACAGCTGTGGCCGGCTTAGCGCTCTGAATGATGACAGTTCTGAATCAAAATGACCTGATGACACTTCTGTGTGATTGATTTCATTGCATAGCAACCAAAGTTTGATATTAATGACCACATATGACTACTGCGTCTTTCAGCAGGACGGGTTAGCGATGTCGCAGCTCATTTAGACGAAGCAAAAACCCTTTTAACACAAGATGAAAACATCACTAGCCAGGTAAAAACATAAACATACCAATTTGAAGCTGGGTCAAGGCGATTAACACCTGCCGAGAATGCTTTTCTTTCAATGCTGCACCCAGATTCTTGTCAGGCACTCCACAGCATGGCTTTCCATTACCAATCCGTGACCAGATTCCCATATTTTTGTGTCTTTTTTGTGACTCTACCAGGATACACACAAGGATGCACATACACATTACTGCAAACTGCAAAAGGCCTGTAACAGCTAGTGGACGTAATGCACCAGAAAGGTAGCGATGCCCTGATAACAGGAGAAGAAGATCGCTACAAGCTGGTGTGAACAAAGTTTCATTCCAGAAGATATTGAAAATGTTTTATGAGGAAGTGAATGCATTCAGCATGTCTGTTAAGATACACATGCTGTGTTTCGGTGAGAAACATTGAGCATATACAAAACTGTGTTTGTTCACCATGGAGGACTCCATGGGGTGCCATTAAGAAGGCCTCTACTGCCTCATTACATTGACCCAGTCAGCCAACACAGGAGCACACTGAGGTGAGTGCAACCAATTCTGAAAGATTTGATAAAATCATCTCCTATCAACAGTCTCCGACACGCTTCTCAAATCATTATTCACCATTACGTACACGCAGCCTCAGTGGGGCACTATGCTGAGATGTTTATATTTCTCAAAAGTCTGCTGGTCATATGCCAATAAGACTTCTTCTAGTGGATGAAGTACTAGTAGCAGTCTGTCTGATGCGTGCGCTTGCTGAAGGAGAGGATTTGGCTGCGATAAATCTAATTTCCTCCAAAATGGGGACAAGCCGAAAGGAAATTTAACAAATTGTCATTTCTTATTCAAATAAGGGAGGACTCAGGCCAAAAATGAAATTACATTATTTCTACCTGCTCCACCTCAGCGCTAAGAATCAATGAAGATTCTTGTGTGGAGAGAGTACTACCAGCCTGATATGAATATTTACACACTTCATAGAGCCCCATATTCAGTAATGGCTACATCTCACTTAGAAACGCTTGGTGCAAGAGGGGACATGTTATTCATAAGAGGTTAAGTGAGTTGACCTGCTCAGATGCCTGCTAAATGAAAGACGGTCAATTAGACACACAGACCAGCACAGTGCAGCATAACAGCTTCCTTCCTCGCCACACGGCTGCAGCAGACGAGTCACAAAGGCAGACTACAAGCTGAATCCTTAAAACGAGGAACGCAGTAATACCAAAAAAAAAAAAAAAAAAAGACTCAGCGTGCAGCGGGCTCTGTGATGAATGAATGGGATCGTCGTGCTCTGGGGAAAGTTAACATGAAATCAAGCGACTCTGCAGGCAGCAAAAATCACAAAGGCTAAAGAATGCACAGTGCAATGATTATTCAGTCAATCTGTTTATACAGGAGTGACCTGTTTCATTACACCAACTTTAGTATGAGCGCAGTACAATGTAGTGCAATGCAACACAATAGCCCTGCAATAAATTCAGCTTATATGAGGCTTGTAATGTCTAATGACTAATCTTGGAACAATGTATATGCACTTCACAAATGTGGAATTCACTGCAAGTATACTGCGTTGGTTTGCATTTTTTTTTTTCTTTTTTACCCTAAATCCTGACACAAACTCCCAACTCACTTAGCTGCAGTTACCAAACGCAACAAGCCAGACTGACAGCCTTCATCGCTCCGTGTGACTCATGTCTCTCATCATCAGAAAACTAAATCTAGTCTGTTGCTGGGAAAACCCCCACGGGCTAAGATCAGAGACAATGAAATGATCCCTGTGTGTCAGTGCACCGTGCACCGTGCGCGTGTCTGTGCACAGCGTATACTCTTCAAGGACATCATAATCACTGGGTATCACTTTACACGGACAGCTGCAAGAGACAGAGTACACCATCAGCCCATGTTAAAGCTATAATAGGTGACTGTACGTTTCAGCATTCAACACCTTTTATCTGTATTTTGTTGTTTTTCTTTCTGTATAATACTCCAGCCACTTGTGCTGTGCACTGTGCATGAACACAATCAAGTCTTAGTAAAGAAGCAGCATCACAGCAGCAGGTGGAGATCTGCCTCCCTCTCCCCGCACTGCCCACCCCTTAATATTTTTCCAAGTGTGACTGGCATGCCTGTGACCTCTGAAAGCCACCCTCATGAACAACCCTTTGATTATTAATGTTGAAGGCGGCGGCCTGGCTTTTCGACCTGGCCCAAAGACCGCGGTGCTCTTTGCTTAGCCTGGAGAAGGAAACGATTGTTAATTTATGAGACACATTGCCTTTCTGTTACGTCTTCTTGTGGCATATCTTACCCTTCCTGTCATACTACCCATGGGAGAACGAGCAGTAGGTGAACGTAAGCAGGGCAGTTGTTTCAGAAACACATTTCTCATAAATCTATGCAACTAACAATACTTGTATAAGAACTTTATGTGTCTGTCGTGTTTATACTGACCTCATAATAAGTTATAGTATCTGACACCTATGATTTTTCCTATAGGACTTGCATCTGTTATTATGTCTACTGTGGTGAGTTTATGATGGCCTTATCATGCTTTATGGCATTATTATCGCCTGTGATGTCACTTTAATATTCCTATAATATTCCTGCAGGAGCTCAGTGTACTCAGTGGTGACTTTATAGTGACGTTACACTAGTTTATGGTATTATCTCCCGAGGTATCACTACAGTGTTCATAAAGAGGCTGTTAAATGTCCTTTTAAATGTCTAGGGAGTGTTAGTTCTTATCCATCAGGGCAGAAGACAAGACTCCTTTCAGAAAAGTCGAAAGTGTGATAGACAAGGTTTCTCTCAGGGTTGCCTACCTTTCCCGTAGTTGAAGTGGAGTTTGATGGTCTTGCCCTGGTTGATGTGCAGGTAGGTGAACCACACGGCGGAGGTGAGCAGTACCAGCAGCAGCAGGAGCTTGAACTGCTTCCGGATCTTCTTCACGGGGAAGCGCAGCATCCTGGCTCAAACATCCTCCGGTAGCCGCCCGGTAGATAGTCAAAACGGGTCCGGAAGGTGGTCGTTCGGGCGCTGCTGTGTTTTGTTTCTGGCTGTCCTCGGCTGTACACTGACGGGCTACCTCCTCCCCCCCTCAACCCTGGTCACAGCGACGGCATCCCAGCCAGGCAGCCTGCGTGTAAACAGGGTGTGTGAACTACAGCCTCGAAGCGCGTCTCATTCCCGCGGATCCACGGGGTGACAGCGGCGCCAAACTCGTCGTATCCTCAGATCTGGGTCCAAACACCTCTCTGGCAGTCATTGCTTATGAATGCAAGCCGGTTTCTCCCTTTCCCTATGAATAGCGTGGCTTATAAACAGGCTTCTCCTGCTGGAGTTTTTTTTTCAGGCGGCTGGGGTTAGCAGGGAAAAGGCTGCAGATCAAAAGCCGCTAAGTTCAGTTAAGAGTGTGACCGGGGGGAACAAAATAGCAGTCCGCGATAATCTACATAAATCCCCTGTAGCTCAAGCCTTTGCACACCCCGACGCTGATTATTTTATCGGCTACTCAAGGATCATCCTCAGCCGTGGGTTTAACGCAAAGTGTCAAAGAGCAAGAAGAGAAATGTAGTTTCCATGTGGAAAGGTGATCGGACATCTCCACAGAGCTGCAACACTGAACACCTCCTGCAGAAAGACAGTTTTCTGGCACAACAGACGGATGAATCAATCTTTCCAAAATGGGTACAAATGAAATAAAAGGGCCTTCAGAGAAATATATAGCAGTGAGTGGCAAGTAACCTGATCAGGGGAAAGGTTAAGGGGTGGTAATCAAACAAATGTCACAGCCCTCTGCGCTCCATCTATTGTTAAACACGGCTGAAACTGAGACTGTGGCTTCCAATCGAGGGCAGCGGATTCAGATGGAGCGCGTTTTTTATTGAAGTCCCGGGAGAGGAGGGGCGATCAGCTGTCATCCTCATACTCGGGCGGGTTTGAAGCCCCGCTACGACGAGTAAATATTAAACCGATGTAGATTAAAAACTGTGCAGGCTCCATGGCGGCGTTGCAACAAAGGTTTGACAGAAATACTCAGTTGTGACTTTCCGATTTGAGGTCCAGGGAACAGATGTCCATGTGCTCCGGTTGGTCCTCGCCTCACGGCAGGTGCATTTTACCCAATTCTCCCAAAGTACCTGCGTTGTCCGAGTGCCCCGTGCGTAGGAGAGAGATCACACACAAAGACCCACATCCGGATGAAACAAACAAACACTGATATGTGGAGCTAGTAGCGATGCACTGCCGTGTGTTGTTATTCTGTCATGAGCTTTTTTCCCATTAAAACGCCGCAATACCATCGTCCAACCCGCTGGTCACCGCGCGCAGGGAGAAAAAAAAACCGGCTGAGCTCCAGGAAAGGTGCCGCGGAGAAACCAGCAACAAGCTGTGGCAAAACCAGGAGGGAACATGGTTTTGTTTTGCTACAATGAAACACGTAAGGGTATCTGCTTTCACTGCACAGCTCAGTACGCCCATCAATTGAGCATCTTAACGGTGCAGAGCAACCTAACCTGGGTGGCCGGGGAATGACAGGCCACGCGTCCAATTACAACCCCGCAAAGGGCTCAGAGGAGGCGGGATGACAACGCTCGCTCTCACCGTCGCTTGGCACTAGTACGATCCATCATCCAATAGCTGAACGCACAGCCTGAAACTTGTTAAGCTTCTCTGTTCTGCCCTTTCCCCTGAATCCAAGGCCCCCTGCTAATTTGATAAACAATGATTAGTCGTTTTTCAAGTAATGACGAAATAACTCAACTAACTGAAACACTAACAGTGCACAAAAGTAATTGTTTTGTGTAACTACTGTTGGGTTCGTTCATGTACACACGTAACATTTGTATTTAATTAATAATAAAAAAAATTGTATTCCCTAATTTCTCCCAGGAACATTCAATCCTCAACCTAATTTTACATCAAACTTGTAAATTCCTCAGTTGGAATATGTTCCTGAAAGCACCAGATGATAGATTTGACAGTGTTATTTGACATAATTTTGACTTTTGCAAAACTGAATGCTCTCCCAGCCTTCCCACACTAAGTTCACTCACAGTCCGGGGGAAAAAAATCAACTTCAGTCTGATATTCAAGAGAAGATAGCAAATGATTCTATATTCTATAAATTATTTTAATTTGGAGGCTAAAACATTCCCTAAACTTACCTTGCAGTTTGTTAATTACACATAATGTGGCCTGTATGCTGTGTGTGGCGACACCCAGCAAAGGCACTTAGGAGACGCGCTTGACTGCCACCCTCTGGTCAAAGATGGAAGAGCAATGACTACACCAAGTGAGACGAGTGAGTCTTAACAAACCTGAGCATGAAGCAAGGTTTGGTCGTGTTTAAATCCTATGAGACAAAATACATGCAGAGAAATAACAATTTTTTATGTGTTTATATTCCACCTCTCCATCCACAAAACTACTTTTGGACATAGCGCACAGGTTTGTGGTCACATCCATACATATTTTGCAAGACACCCACTCAGTCCTGAGAAGATGCTTAATCAGGAATGGGAAATGAAAACACCTCTGGGGTGAGCAATGCATATGCAGGAGCTTTAAGATAAAAGAAAAGAAAAGAAGATGAAACCAAATGTGTGAATGAAGTAAAAGTCTACCTCTTAATATATCATTGACTTTAGGGTGACAGAATGCATCCAACATGTGGATTATCCTAAGTTTAATACATATACAATCATCCTTGCTGTAGCCATGGTAAGCTGTTGATGCCAATATGAATCTAGATAGGACGGATCAAAAGACACAAAACCTGGCCTATAAGAATATGACCTCAATTTAGTTTGTCCCAGCTGTGCCTTCAGAATCTGTCGGACCACAAACCATAATCCTTTGTCGTCCGTGGATTAATAATGTAATCTTCAGCGCAAACATGGAGCGTAAATGAAATGCTTAGGTATTCATCTGGGCCGTATTGAAATGAGTACTTAGCGAATGACCTCAGCCAAACATAATTTACACTGAAACAAAAACTTCATAGGATTCACCTTGCTCAGGCTGTTGCAGGGAAAACTGACGGTATTTCATCACACACACACTTGGTCTGAAAGTCATCCAAAGTGTGTAATCAAACAGTTTCATGTACTGTTTCTTTTTTTTTTTTTCCTTTTCTCTCTTGGGTGGAAGACGTTATATCGGGCCTTTTGAGGTCCTGGTTCTATTGTTCTTTATGTTTGATCATCTGACCTGTTTTTGTCAAACTCAAGACAAATACAGCTCTCTTTTTCTACACAGTTAGTGTACCTGATGTTCTGTCTGTGTGCTCCTGTTTGTGTTTCATCCAAGGGCAGGCAAGCATCCAAAGCACAGCAAGGGACCTGCACACTTTTAACTCACATTAAAGGTAGACAAAAAGCTTCACACACTGCATATGGCTCCATTTATTGGTGAGTAGCACAAGGAAAAGGTGTAAATTGGGTAACAGAAAGGCTTTATATTATCTGCAACACGTTGACATTCAGGCGCACGGCTTTTTCAGTTTCAAATTTATCTCTTGCCGTTTTCCCTCTGTCTCTCCTCTCTTTCATGCCTGCAGAAACATTTGGCACCTAGGTCCCACCCTCCAGGGATCTTCATGCCTGGATCCAGGAGGCGGTGTGCAGAGGAATGATACGGACAGAGGCTGTTCAAGGTGGGGGCTGATAGAGGTAGAGGAGCTGCTGCCTGCTGGGGTATAACAGACCATGCCCACAGGGGAGGAGTGAATGCCCAGCTGGCTGTGACGGGGTGTCAAAGTGTGGCACGGAAGTTATGATACCACTGAGCACAACCAAGGGGTAAGGCATCGCTGGTGAGGGACTCAGTATGCACAGAGCAGCATCTCAGAGAGTGTCATGGTGTTTGCATTTTGAATAGAGAAGATGTGATGCAGGCAAGTAAGAGAGGAGAGACTGGCCTCTTTATTGGGGCTACCACAGCTTTAATCAGCAATTCAACTGATTCAAGACCCGCAGCTTCTTAAAACCTCTCTCCTTTGACTATTCCAGCACCTGCTTGTCGGTCTTTGTCTGTCTCTGCCCGTCTGTGTGTCCCTCAGCCTTCATCTCCTTCAGTCTCTCACAAACATCCAACCATCCATTTTCCTGGGCAGTATAGCAACTTGCAGGCTTTGATGAGAGGTCTGAGCTAAAATGTCACAGGGATTAAGGGGTTTTGCCTCCTGCATCCTGCCGGATCAGTTCTGGCTATACCCTCTTTGCCTGAGCCTCCTCCTCCCCGACCAAGTTTCTGGTCTGCTGTGCCCTATTGAATTTCCTTCTGGGGAAATAACATTCCTCCATGTCTGCGGATGAGTAAGGAGGGAAACGGGAGATGGGGAGAGGTGACGTGAGGGGATGAGGAGGAATGAGGAGAAGAGACGAGCTGAGATGAAGAAATCAGGGGAGAGGAGATGATACCAGTTTCTACATTGGATCCTCCTCCGCAACAAATGCATACGAATAGACATTTAGAATACAAATACAGAGTAATGGTAAATATGTTTAAATAGTTATAGTTTCATATGCTAAAACTTTGAGAAATTGACTTGAATCATTTCTCCATTCAGCCCCACTCACACACACATACACACACAAACTCTGAGGACAGACACACACGCTCTTCTGCAGCTGTTTCTTTCGAATAGGGTTAGACAGATTTGAAAATTAGATGTCTCCCGAGATGTGCAGCTAAGATAGAGCATTTAACATCACATCGCTACAGCTGCTGCCATATTGAGTAGCATTCTGCAGGGTTTTCTTTGACTGCGTCCACACAAAGCTAAGAATAACATATGGTTCCCACGGGTCCTGGAAATCCTTGAAAGTTTGTGAATTTGGAAAAAAAACTCAAGACCTTAACAGATTTTGACCGAAATAGACATGGTTCATTGAAAGTGCTTGAATTTATATATTCTGTGCAGAAACAGAAATCACTGTAGCACAGCACAAAAGAGCAGTGTT